CCCGCATCGAAGAATTTTCACTGATATTCCTCGAGTAGTCCAACTAGAATTACTTTTCGATCTTTTTGAAATATTTTGAAAAACCTCTTGGATTCGAGCCAACTCGACTTTACGAGCCTGCGCGCTCGAGAAGAGAAGCCAAAATCCTGACTCAAAGATGGCGGACACAACTGATGTTGTGTTAATTTTTGTAAATTAAATTTTTGTAATTTTCAGGAGTGTTTTTTCTTTAGAGACGTATATAACCTGCGCTGCTACGCAGGCTAAGTCGTATGCCTTACTTCAAATCGACAATTGGCCATATTTTTAACATGTTCACTCAATACTAGCCGCGGCCAAAATGAGTTTTCCGAGAATCATCTAAAATAAACCGTATTTTCCCCTTAAATCAACTCTCCCAGGTAACCATGGTGAGGATGTGAAGGAGTGTTACTACTACCTTGATTCAACTCCAACCCACTCATACATGAAAGCATTATACAAATACCCACAGAACGAGTACCCATACAGGGACCTTGTTGAGGAGAACAAGAAACGAACCAAGGAAGACCCGGAATACGAGCTAATCGATACAGGTAACTAACTCCATATTTTTTCCAAAGTAAACTGAGTTGGGCAATGAAGCTGCTGCATTGATAAACATCATATCCCTCGCACAATTCGACCAGGAAATATTGTGCACTATTGGACAAGGGTTCATAGCCGGTTAAAATTGAAAAAAAAGTTAAGTTCTCATTAGCCTTTTAGTTACAATTGCTTGCTTGCCACGACTTTTAGGATTCGATTTTATTTGATAGAGTTTGGGAAAGCAAAAAGATGTGAAGGAATTTTTGAAATTTAAGGAAATGGTATTTCCAGATTCATTAGGATGTTTGTTTCAAGTTCACTTATTTTTTCTTCGCCTCTTTCTTTTCTTCACTTATTTTTCTTCGATTCCTTTTTCTTCCAGAAATATTTGATGGCAGCCGCTATTGGGATATTTCCGTCGAGTACGCAAAGAACACACCAGACGATCTCCTCATTAGCATAACCGTAGCTAACCGCGGACCACAAACAGCGCGTATTCACGTGTTGCCAACACTGTGGTACAGGAACACGTGGGCATGGAGCAGTAAGCACGAGGAGTGCATGAACATGCCACAATTGACGCAAACTGCGCCTGGCATGGTGGAATGTTACCATGACACCCTTGGAAAGTATATCTTTGCAGCTGATGTTGGAACAGATGGAGAGATACCAGAGCTACTCTTTACCAATAATGAAACGAATTTAGAGGTAAATTAAATTGTGTTTTCTTTTTACGATTTTTTCTATTTAAGAAATGATGAAGTTGTAGGCTCAGACACAGTGAAATGAACGGCAAGTCGTCTCTGTAAGTTGTATTTTTACAGCGTCACAGCTAATGATCTTGTTGATCTAATGATCAGAGTCGCAAACTTAAAGACGTCATTATTTTCATCAAGAGTCAATTTTCTTTTGACATTAATTATCCCTGCCTAAGGAATAGAGAAAAAATAAGGAAGACTCTGCTCGCAGTAAAATGTTCTTGATGACACACAGTCAATTCTCAATCCACGCAAATGTTTCTCTTTTGGCGTAACAGCGTCTGTATGGATTGAAGAATTCCAGCCCTTATGTCAAGGATGCATTCCACAACTACCTCATTAAAAAGGACCATRATGCGGTGAACCCTAAGCTAAAAGGGACCAAAGTGGCCCCTCATTACGTCCTCGACATTCCTGCAGGAAAAGCACATACTATCAGATGTCGTTTGTCAGTACAGCCCGACAGAGTTCCGAAGCCGTTCGGGAAGGATTCGTTCGATGAGGTTCTGGCAACAAGAAGAATGGAAGCAGACGCATTTTACAGAACTGTTATCCCTGGTGAGTATCTTATGTTACCGAGATGCGATATGTAATTTGAGTGATTTGCAGGGCACTCAGCAGGTTATCTAATAAAAGAGCAAGTTGGCTTTGGGTTAAGTTGTTAATAGCTGGTAATGACAAACCAGACAGATCCTGTCAAGGCTACTGTCTGTGTGCAGCCCGACTGTTAACCCTGGTTAATTTGATTTGCGAACAAGGGTAAGATTCCTTCTTTAAGAGTCCCTACGCGTGTGCATGATTGTATATATATATTTCCATTTCTTTCTTTCTTCTCTTTCTTTGAGTATACGCGTCAGCCATTTTTAAGCCGATTTTCAGACATGCGCAGTAGATATGAACTCATGCATCGAATGAATTGGCGTTTATACCTCTGCCTTGCTACAAGAAAGYTTGGAATTTATCTAAATGATATACCTGTTTCGTATTCAGAATTGCTTTCACACGAAGAACGACTAGTCTCGCGCCAGTCATACGCGGGATTGCTGTGGAGCAAGCAGTTTTACTATTATATTACAGAAGACTGGCTCAAGGGCGACCCTAACATGCCTACCCCGCCACACTCCAGGACGAACGGGAGAAACTCTGAATGGAAGTATTTACACAATAAAGACATTATATCGATGCCAGACAAATGGGAATATCCTTGGGTAAGCATGAACTTTTGATGGATTGGTTTTCCTGTGGTGGAAATCGAAAACCACAGGTAAACCAAAAAGAGACAAGGCACTAAAGGCTGATTCAAACTTGTAAAGCTAATTGTAATAACAGCTCTTTTCTTATATGACAGTCACTAATGATGATCTTTTCACGACTAAATTTGCAAGTGTATACAACATCGACACGAGTGAAAAATGTCTGCGCATGCTCCAAGTCCATATGCAAATTAGTCGAAACATCTTCATGCTATCGTAGAATTATGTAAATATGACTTTCAAACRTGCCTGGTTTCCATGCTTGAAACTTAAGGCTAATTCTTTCACATTGTCTTACAAAAGTATACTCGCGACACTTTTTGTATACTCGGATACGTTTCTCTCTAGAGTTTACATCACCTAGTTTTATACTAGTGACTGTACAGTGAGCATTGGGTTTCCTTTGGTGATACCCAGAAAGAAACCAAACTGACGATAAAGGCATTTTTTCTTGTTATATTTGCAGTACGCCTCTTGGGACCTGGCGTTCCATATGCTTCCATTTGCTAAAATCGATCCAGAGTTTGTCAAAGACCAGTTATTACTATTCCTAAAAGAAACCTACATGGCGCCTAACGGTCAAATACCTGCTTACGAGTTCGCATTGAGTGACGTCAACCCGCCTGTTCACGCTCTCGCGTGTTTTCGCGTGTACGAGATGACCGCCAAAAAAGAACAGAGAGACAAGGTGTTCTTAGCCAAGTGTTTTCAGAAACTGTTGTTAAATTTCACCTGGTGAGTCGGATGTATTAATGATCGACTTTAATTTCTAAGTTCGCGCGAAAAAAGCTTTAACGAGAATTTTCCAAGGTCAGCCAAATTGCTGGGCTTCCATCAGTTGAAAAACGTCTTTGTTCAACGATGAACACCATGTGCTGTCAGCCAGAAAGAATTATTTTAAAAATTTGCGATTTAGGTGGTGAACATTTTGTACGAGAAAGAGGATGACGTCAAGTGAAAGACAGCAATGTTAGAACAGCTCAGTAACCTCTACAGGGAAAGTGGGAGGAAAGGAAGAAGGAAGGAAGGGAGAGAGGGAGGGAGGGAGGAAGGGAGAGAGGGAGGGAGGAAGGGAGAAAAGGAGGGAGGGAAGGAGGGAGAGAGGGAGGGAGAAAGTAGAAGTGTAAAAAAATGACCCTCTCCCTCACCTGGATCCCTTTTGTTCCCTTCATTCGGAAACCTTCACATGAGCAAGTCTGTGAAGCCTATAGTATTGGTGATAATACATTAATACATTGTTAGAAGCCAAAGACAGATGTGTCCATTAGATGATGTATTGCTAATACTTTCCTACGATAATCATGTCTATCAGGTGGGTCAACAGAAAAGATCCTGAAGGGAGAAACATTTTTGGAGGTGGATTCCTTGGTCTGGACAATGTTGGTGAGTTACTTTCTGCTTTTGTTTTTTGCTGTTGTTGTTCTTTATGTATGGAGCAAAAAGTAGTTGCTAGTTCAAGGCGAGATATCGTAATTGCTAGGTTTCAGTCAGTCGTTAAAAGTCAGTTCAGGTTCTACCTGTGGTCTTTCTAACACTGACCACCAAGAGTGTCAGGTGAAGCCAAGAAATACGAAACGTACATAAAGTACTTCCTAAAAATGATAGATGGTATGTGAAGAGCTTATGGCAACTGCTAATAACGAGTACATTTCCTCACATCATTTCCAGGCGTGTTTGATCGTTCAAAGCCATTACCTGGTGGTGGTCGCCTTTGCCAGGTAACTATTAAAAATCAAATAGTTCATGTTCACGCTCTGCCTACCAGATCTATCCAGTTAATTAAGTTAAATGAAAAAATTAATTAAGTTAAAGGAAAAGTGGTCCCAGATTAATGTATTTGAAATTACAGCAATGAATATTCGAAAAAAAGTGTCGTGGTCTCTGATGTGGAAAGCAAATAGTGACTTTTTTACATTTGGTGTAATATATTGGCTCAGTATATATTCATTTGTGACCTTACTTAATTGGAAATCTTTCAAATATTTCAACGACACTGCAAATGTGTAGTATTAAAAACAAATGTTCTCACCCATTCCCATAATGCCTTTCAGGCTGACGGCACCGCTTGGATGGCCCTGTATTGCATCGTGATGCTTAACATCTCTTTGGAACTTGCTCTCTCGGACCCAAGTTACGAAGACATGGCATCCAAATTCTTCGAACATTTCACCCACATTGCACGAGCAATAAATAAGATGTCAGATGGCTATGGCTTGTGGGACCCCGAGGACGGCTTCTACTACGATCACTTCCAAACTGGACACAAGACATTCCCACTGCGCGTGCGCTCCATCGTTGGCCTGGTTCCCTTGCTGGCCTGTTGGGTCATTGACTCAGAGTATCTTGAAAAACTGCCAGGTTTCAGAAACCGGTTGAACTTGTTTGTCGAGAAGAGAAAAGATCTGGCGTCACAGGTCAGTAACTATCTACACCATCTTATACCAGTATACGTGCGGTAACATAGTGAAGCAAACATGTTTTCGTTCATAAATCATCGAGCTCTTTGAGGTCAAATTCCAAAAGAAAAGAAAAGAAATCAATTGTTTAAGACTGCATGCGTATAAGTTTTCTTGATGTGGTCTCACGGCACGTTTTTCGGGGCCTCTAACTTTCTTGACTCAATGTTCTTCAGATCGTGTACTTGGATCCAATCAGCGACACACATCTGCTCTCTATCCCATCCGCTGAGCAACTCCACAGTCTGCTGTCGTACATGCTTGACGAAGAAGAGTTTCTTTCTCCTTACGGCATTCGTTCAGTGTCCATGTACCACAGTGATCATCCTTACACATTTGAATTAGATGGCAAGTCCTATCAAGTGGACTACGTGCCAGGAGAATCAAATACATACATGTTTGGAGGCAATAGCAACTGGAGAGGACCAGTTTGGATTTGCAGTAAGTAAAAAAGGAAAAATTGTCTGAGTAACTACTGCCAAGCCTTAGCTTTGGTCCCATGCCCTTCTCATAGACCAGTCAGTTCTAGTTCCAAATTACCGCTGTGTTTCTCGATTACAGACTCATTTACACAGGGTTAGCTTCGTATCAGTGTTTAAATATTCACAAATRCCAACGGTAAAGTAAAGAATGCACCTTGACAGGAACACGTGAATATTCTTCACAAAATCGAGGCTAAACCTGTGTAAATGAGTCTGTAATCAAGGAACACAGCGGTGATTTGGAACTCGAGACTGGCCTGTTCTTAATGAATTATTGACGTTGTATTCTTCAGTAAACTACCTGATCGTAGAGGCTCTCAAACGCTACGACCTTTTCTACGGAGAAACCTTCCAAGTAGAATGCCCAACAGGCTCTGGCAACCTGATGCGACTGCGTGACGTAGCTCAAGAGCTTTCTCGTCGTCTGACGTCATTATTCCTACCTGATGAGAACGGTAAACGACCCTGCCATGGCAACGAGCACCAGTATGCTGATGATCCAAACTGGAACCAGTTAGTCCTGTTTTACGAGTATTTCCATCCCGAAACTGGACGGGGATGTGGCGCTAGGTAGGTTTTCTTTACTTAATTTTACTTGCATTCATGGACATGGACACCCGAAATGTTATACCAAAAATATTGAATTAAGTTTATTTTCTTTATCATGTCTTCTTCTTCTCCTTTTTAGCCACCAAACAGGTTGGACAGCTCTTGTGTCTCCTCTACTCGATAAACTATCAGCCTATCGAGGACGTTCGCCCTCGGTCTAACTGGATCTCTCCCTCTTCACAAACGGTTAGTCAGCCAGCCAGCGTGTAACCCACACAAGGCCACTCTATCCAGTTCAGAAGCCCTAGGATCCACTTCAATGGTTGCTGATACGAAGTTACCACTGGTATACTCTTGCTTTTTGCGCAAGATTAACATAGAGATAGCCGATCAGACGCAGCAGCCAGTTAACCTGGGGCTGTATACCTGAGGCTGTAAAAAAACCTGGGGCTGTAAACCTGGGGCTGTAAACTTGGGGCTGTAAACCTGGGGCTGGTGCCTTTAGCATTCAAGTCGTTCTTGACGAACAAGGTGATATCATGTAATGACATACTAGGAGTATATGATTATACCACATGTCAACATGTTGGATGGTATGGAGTTTGTAGACAAACATCCATTCACATTTGCAACACCTTTCGTTCCAAATTCCAAGCGTTTTACGTCATTCAATCTTCTCACGCATTACCAACTTATCATAGTTAGTTAAGATGGTAGAGCAAATTCCGTGACTCTGGAAAACTTGTAAACGGTACCGATATGCCGTACTGTGTCCGTGCCATGCTCCACGTCTGTGATTGGATAATTTGCAATCTCGAGGGCTGTGATTGGTCGACCAATGCCGTACTGTGACCGTGCCACGCTGCAGGTCTGTAATTGGATAATTTGCAGCCTCGAGGGCTAGGATTGGTCCAAAGTCAGTATTCGGTCATGTAATCACACCGTGATTATTACCATTATTACTCACTCTTAACCGGCCACAATTTCTCCTATGCAGCCTGGGTGCTAATAAGAAAACTTTTGTTAAATGGCACCAACGATCCCCCGAGAGGCCGCGATGACGTAACGTGCAGTCGAAGAATTAGTGTCGTCACGCAACCGGCTCACTCGACTAAGTAGCTATTTAGCGAGTGAGCGTTGCGTTACGACACTTATAGCAAATTATTGTAAAATTAATTTTTGACACACATCAGTTTGAATTCGATGCTTATACAACCGTTTTCGGAAGCTGCAACTTTAAAACAATAAATATCCTATGCTTCTTTGATCGTAAATGAGGATGTAAATAACATTGTAAATAAGGAATGGGGCACGAGATATTGAAGGGTTGCGGATATTATGAATTTACCATCCAATACATTTTTTTTGTTATTAGATATGGTTTATTTAGTATTTTCGTTTTGGGTTAGTTATTACAAACGAATAACGATGTAAAATTTTAAATTATTGAAAATCATGAATTTTGTAGATTTGTAAAAAAAAAAATAACTTATTGAGAATTTTAGTAAAAATAATAATTTGAAGTGCTTTGAATTGTTTATTTTCCCAAAGCTTAAATGAGATTTTGCGTTCACACTGTAAAGCACACATGTTGAATGACAGGATTTGATTGTTCCTATCTTCGGTGAAGCCCAAATATTGAATAGAGCATGCGCAGTAAGAGTGACAGCACTCGGGGTCAAAGATTGGTGGCTTTCCTTTGTGTTCCACAGGAAGCCCGAGAGAGCAGAGGGAATATCATCAACCAATCATCGGGCACACATTCATATTTGTTTTATTAAATAGATTAAATCATTTATATTCTGATTCATTTAAATTTAATAAAATTGAATAACTAAGTTTGATATTAGAATATTTTGACATTGGCTATATGTTGAAACTTTCTAACTACGATTTACAGTTATTTTATACTTTGTCTGATGTATTATTCTTATCAACTCTATTTAGACAAGTTTTTTTACGCTAAAAATTAAATATCATCAAAAACTAACCGGTAGTGTAACCCTTGTTAGGAAGACCCTAGCTTCATTCGCATGGGGTCATATATAATTAGCATCTTAAAAACTCATGTCTAAAGGGAGGCTTATTTTTAATTTTAACAAATACAAAATTTCTTTAATTATGTCAGAATCGTGCGAATATATATATTTTAGTGTCGCGGTCACGTGGCTAACAGGACACGTGMCATATCCGCCATGATGGATGACAAATATAACGACAAGTGTTTTTGTGTAAATTACTCGTTCTACAATTGTCCATTCTCAACTGTCATCCAACATGTCGGAAATGAACAAATAGTCATGACTAATAATATCTCCCCCAGACCTCTAAACATAACATATGTGGAAATGATTTGAGTAGGGACTGGGTAAGACAGGTTGCGCTTATTAAGCGTTGTATGTATTTTTAATGTATTTGGAACAAATCAAAGAGAGGTTCAAAGGAAGGCTCTAAGGTACCCCAGAAATATCTACAGAAAACAGCTCGTCTAGAGTGAACCTTCTACACGAAAGCTAGGATCGTTCCTCCTTCTTTGTACGTTTATTAATATCAACTCAAAAAACACGTCAAGTTCTTTCTTACATACAAAATTTAGAACTCCATTATTATTTTACATTCAACTGATTCCATTGCAAATATGCCGGCTGTCACAATGAATTTAAAGATATTTTTTGGATGAACGATTTCTGTGATTTCATTTAAAGAACGTCTATAAATTAAAAATAAAGATTATTTTACACCAAATAGTAGTTCTGCCACTACCCATCATGCCGTGCAGGAAAAGAAGTATGCTTTCAGGCAAATACCATCGTTCTTTCACCGCTATATCGATCATCTGGAACTTACAAAACGGGTGTGAAAAACAGTAATCCAAATGAGTTTGTAATTAGTTTTTTTATCCCTAAATAGTATTGTATTTCTTAAATTTGGCAGCTAAAAACGGCCCAAGAAATTGCAGTGACGTCACTTTTTTTAGATAGTCCGCCATTTTGATTATTTGAAAGATCAAAGCACTAACTTGGAACAAGGCTTAGGAACGATACATGATATTTTAAAACTCTTTGCCATTTTGGTTCTGAAGAATGAGCAAGGACTGGTAACCAGTCCCAAGAACTACACAGTGACGTCACTAAGTTTAAAACATCTAATAGGGGACTGGTTACAAAGCGATGAAATACTTTTAAAATGGATTCATGTCCTGCAAAGCATGATGGTCTAAAGTGGCGGTAGGATATAATTCATCAAGGTAATAGTATTTGTTCAAAGATTTCTGAAAAACTTAGATTTATAAAAATACCTTGTGTGTTGATTTTTGCTTTCAAATTGTTAACTTTAAGAAATAACGATGATAAAAGTGTCAGAGAGTGTTCATAACTGATCAAGTAGAGCCGGAAACGTGTGTAATTATCATCCCCCCCCCCTTCTCAATCTTCGATCTATCTTACCTGACAGATGTAATTTTTTTGTGCCACTCCTCCCCTCCCCCCTCAGAAACTATCGTTGCTCTCTTCATAAATTATGAACACCACCATATACCAATAAAGTTAGTCACCTAAAACCTAGAAAGCTGTGATCGCTGACAATCATGGGAAATATTTCATATTCAACAAGTAAAGCTTTTTGACACAAACTGCAGCAGTTGAGGATACTCAGAGGAGGTTAACTTTTAACTGGTAGAAGATCTCAAGTCCATCAACAGTTATCAAGCGGTTGAAACATGTAAATGTATCTACCCATGATCCTTGCCGGTCTCAGCTTTGTAGCTTTTTAGGTGTGACTAACTTTATCAAAATAAGTGTATACTTTAAAAATCAACTTTTTGAAGAACTATGCATTCTTTATACCAGCTATAAATATGCTATTCAAACGTCAATATCTTCTTTTCATATCATTTCCCATAGAATATCAAATATAATTATCGGTTTATAATTGAAATTACTATTTTATTTAATAGTTAAGGTCCGCCCGCACACGAACAGCTGTTGCTCGCAGCGTAGCAACGTTTTTTGCATAAAAAATATGAATTGAGGAAAGTAATCAAATTCTGGTCAGCGGTACACCAAAATAATGAAATTTGATTGGCTGAAAACATTAAGTGATTACTGGTGCTTGGAATAACACGATGAGGCTAATTACGTGCAAAGGAGTTGTCGAGATGCGGTAAGTATGAAAATGAGTATTCAAGCAAGGAATGAATAGTGTACTAGTGGAGATGTAAAGACGTTGTTTGACTGCACTAAATCTGCAGTATGCATTTGCGTAATCCAGTGGCCAAAGACCGCTTTATGTAACGTACTAAACCTAGCTATCAAAGTAGAGCGAATCTTGGTTTACTTTTATGAACTAATTAATCTCGTGGGCAATTTCCGTAATGATGCTGCTCTTATAACCAAGGCTGAAACGACTATTTTAAGAAAATTAATTTTGCTAAGTAATTTGCATCTTGCAAAATGATACATCTAAAAACATTTTTTAAAGTGTTGAGTGCCCAAAAATAGCACATTATTACGTAGGTCCTTTTCCAAAAAAACAAGGTGTATTATGGTCTAGATTGGGTAGAATGAAAATTAGAAAAGTATGTGACGTCATCCCCGCCATTATGAAAGTTTTCTTGGTATGGTATGACGTCATCGCCGTCATTTTAAAAGATCGCATAGTATGGTGTGACATCATCTCCGCCATGTTGGATATTTTTATGTCGGGCGAGTTAACTATTCCATCGATTTTTACTCTAGGTACGCTCAAGACTACCCTTTTTCTTTAAAATTCTTTATATTGTAGCTTCGCCGAGCTACGTAAACCACGACGCAATGAGTCACACTAAGAACTCAACGTTCTGGTTGGCAAATTCTTTCACAATATACTGAATTCTGTTCAGCCACATTCTCCAAGTGAGCCGTACTTTTCGAGGGTTAAAAAGAGGTATCGTATCAAAAATTATTGAAGATTATGTCTAGCAAAACTAAGACGAACACAGGGATCCCGTCAGCACTGAATCCGTAGAAAAGGACAGCATTTATATCAATCTGTCCCTTCTATCGTCTGCGGCAGACCAATTAGGGTCTAGTCTATTTCTAAGTTGAGGATCGTCCGGTAGCATCGTTCTTTCCGAGTCTGATTTCAGAAAGAAAAGAAATATTCCTACTTGGGACATCACGTTCAGGGTCCCTTGTGAAAGGTCCATAGGACTGCTGTTCTTTAGTGAGGGACGTAATACGTTAGGTCCAAAAACAGTAGCTAGGTTGTTAAGTCCCATTTTATTGATATCACTACAACTCCCAATTCTGTTAACAAATAGATGATACCATTTTAAAAATGTGCAGCCATGAACGAACAACCTGTAAATTAATAAGCTTTAGGGGGAAATTTGCCCCTTTATTCAAACCAAGGATAGCTTTTTTGTTTGCAAGATTCCCTTGAGCTTGACAGACAAAATGAAGGGCAAGAGCTGAGTGCTCGCTCAGTATCCCAAGTCTACTTGAGTGCCCGTTGACGCAAGATCGAAGTGCAATTTAGAAGCCCATTTCTTACGAAATGGAGCAAACTGCAAGGCGGACGACAAAATACTTGGACAAAGACAAGAATTTTCAAAAAGTAACTACGCGTTACTGAGAGTTTTGTAAAGGTACCCTTGAAGTAGGGAGGTGTTAAAGGAATAAAAATGCAGAATTTCATTTGAAGAAAATTCGATTATATTTAAATCAACTTACCTTCTCAAATGTTCAAACAGGTAAACTGCAGTTAGTCGGTTGGGTTTAGGTAATGAATCCAGCAGCTCCAGCATTCGCTTCTTCTTTTCTTCCTTGTCGGACATTCCTAGATATTAACCGAAGCAAGAACTGAATACGAGACTTTTAAGACCGAGATTTCATTTCCTCAAACTTGATAGAATTGCCGTGCGTACTACAGGTTAAGTTAAACTCATGACAGAGTTGATATTTTACGTGTGTGACACACGCACGGTCATGGAACCGAAGTTGACGACATCCGTTGAACCTCTCTGCGTTGAACCAATCGCAGTTCGCCAAATTTATGCTTATCCAATCAGAAGAAGGCTGCATGGGACACGGCACGGCACTCCTTTCAAAGTTATCTTGGATACATGGCTTACGGCAAAAATACAAAAGAAATGGCACAAATGGTACAGGGCCGTAGCTAGTCCGGTTTTATCCGCACCACTTTTTACCTCCAGAACCATTTTTCCCCCTCGTAATTTTTTCCTTTTTTACACTAGTAAATAATAATAATAAAAAAAGGAACACCTTTTATAAAAGCCGGACAACTGTCCAAGTGGTGGCTACTTTCTTTTGTATTTTCCATCCATGATAAGTTTTGAAAGTCATCTGTCTCGATGGTAAATACTTCATTACAATCCTATCAAATCTGCTTTAAGAACGACAGACTGTACTTCTTACCGTAAGCATCCACGAAAGAGCTGTACAGATGATCAGTGAATAATGGTTCGGGTAGTTCTCGTAGGTATGACTTGAGCAATCCAGATACGGCATGTATATCAGCGTCTGGTAACTGAACTAGTGCACTCTGGCTGTCTGCAACCATGGAAACATCCAAACGTTAGTTTATATTACAGTCATGATATAGATCTTAAGTTAAAATACGACTGCGAATCAAGGGTGGTGTAGTGGAAGTGACTCGCTTCTCATCTCTAGGGTCTCTGGTTCGGTTCCTTCATTAGCTTGGCATCACATCACATGTGAGTAGAGTGTGTTATAGGACTCCCCCTTGATGTAAGAGGTTTGCTCCAGGTTTTCCAGTTTTTACCTCCGCAAAACCGAACACGCTAAATTCCAATTCAATTCATGAGTTAGCCGTGGCCCTTAGTTAGATCAGCTCAGAGGTTGTTTCAATCATGGTATCATGAAATTTTGAATTAACGTTTATCGCCGATACTTACTTTCGTTAAATGCGTCTTTAAGTCGTCTGACATCAGAGGATGCACCAGACAGCCGGTAGATACCTACTTCATCGGTTCCTCTCTTTTCAACTTCTCGTACGCAACCAATGACTATCAGAGGAATGTCGCATTGCTCACGACTAACAAAATAAAAAAAACGTACAAAATTACAACAATATGTTTACGAGAAATTCCTTCAGTGACACAAAATCTAGAATATTGGCGACACTATCATCCTCTATTGTTCCTCCTCCTTCTCCCGAAATCCGTCCTCCCGACAACCCACCTCCCATCCCATTTAATTCTGAATTCATTTAACCAGTAATAGGGAATGACTAGGAATGACACGTGGTCTGAAATGGGAACAGTGGCCAAGGGAAATACAGGGACAGTCTAGTTGTATAGTTTCAAGAATTACCTCGTAACAGCATCAATATCCACACCAAACACACCAGAATCACTGACGGACTTCTTTCTTTGGATGCCTTGTAACGTTTTTGAATACTGGATAGAAAGCGTGATCGCCCCCTAAACATTGCGTGACAACGTGACAAAGCATTAGAACATATATCATATAGATTAATATGATATAGCACAATGTTGTTACCTGTTTATCAAGAGCGATGGTGATGGTCCGCTTTTTTTGGTCGGTCAAATTCTCACGTGTTAACTGAAATACGAAGAAATGAAAATATGGAAAATGAGAATGATAAGATAAACGTCAGTCTTTGACTAATTAATACACAGTCAATCTCGTACCCTGAGCACTTATTACTTACTGCGCATGCTCGTCAAAATAATATTTTTATCGAGCATGCGCAGTAAGAAATAAGGGCTCTGGGTACGAGATTGGTTGTACAAGGAAATGTACGTACACAGAGTTTGGAGAAGCGATAGAATATAAGTGTCGTAATATCTTACCATTATTTTACCATGACCACACTCCTCATCGCTCATGAGCGCGTATCGACTTTTACCAAACACGTGTAGTCTTAACTCTTTGCTTCCTTCTACTTCGATATCAAAATCCTGGGAAAGTCAATAAATAGGTGCTTTTAGTTTGAATAAACACGTAAATGCAAGACATGCATGGTTTAACACAGGGTAACTAGTAGGTATGAAGAGTAATCTCGCACAAGGTAGGAGAAGAGGGGAAGAGAGATATGGCAAAGAGAATTGAAGTTGACGAATGAAAAGAAAGTAATCGAATGGAAAGAAAATATAAAATGTTAAGGCAGTAGAGGAGGCGGGAAAGGAACGGAATGATGAAGGAAGGGAATGGAAAAAAGGAAAAAAGAAAAAAAAAAAGAAAGGGATATATTGCATGGAAAGAAAAAATAGAAAAAAAAAAGATAAGGCAGAAAAAGATAGGCAAAGGAAGAGAAAGTGTACCTGATTCCACACGGGATCACCGGTAGCTTTACATAGCTTTGTCTTGGCTTTCCGTACAAACTGTCCATAGTGATCTACCTCTAATACGCAGTACAAGTCTAAAAACACCATGGATCAACATGCACGTATTATTTGACGTTTTTATTGGTAAGGACTGGCGGATTTGCATTAAACTTTTTAAAAAGGCTCTCCCTCTGAAGCCCCAGCCCCATCCCCCAGGAAGAAAAGCGCACCTTCCTTGCAGTATTACAAGAATAGGAACCAAGAGAAAAAAAGAAAAATTAAGAAACAAATTAAAATTTACGAAAGGCGTTTTGAAATTTACGAACCACTTCTGTGAAATCCTTTTCCATTTTGTATGTCTACGTAGAGTAGGCCATTCAGAAGTTCTTTATCTGCAAAAGAAACCCACAACATAACAGTAAATTAGTTTCATTTTGTAACGAATAAAAACGCCCCTGCGTTAAAAAACAAACAAACAAAAAAGAAACAAACAAACAAATAGAAAACCCCAAGAAAACAAAAAGTCAAAGTACTATGAATAAGATAGATGACGAAATCATGCCTTGGTAAAGCTAAATTGTTTTAGCACCACGAAACGACCAAAATTTAAAAAACTCTGAGTAACATCTGTATGTCTATCGAAACAGAAACTGTTTATTGTGAGTATCGTAAGAGACCTCCTAGTTGAAATGTCATATTGAAATATAATGAATAGTTTCCGACCCATAAATAATGGCACTTCAAATCTTTTGACTGTTGACTTGTTTTTCAGATCACCTAGTTTCGAGCCGTGCTGTATTGGGTGTGTCGGCGTTTTTGATTTGAATATAAGTTGGGCATTATGATCTGGTTTTTTTCAACGACAAATGAACGAACGGAAGAACGACCAAACGAATGAATGAACAAAAGAACGTACGAACGAACGAACGAACGACATACAAACAAACCAACAAACTATCAAACGACCGACCGAACGAATGAACAAAAGAACGTACGAACGAACGAACGAACGACAAACAAACAAACCAACAAACAATCGAACGAACGAACGACCGACCGAACGACCGAACGAATGAACAAAAGAACGAACGAAAGAGCGAACGAAAGGAAAACAGTTTTATAAAATATTAAATTTTATAAAATAGTATTACTTTGTTTCTTACTTCGAGAAAAATTAAATATAGAAAGGGGATGCGGATAGGACAAAGTGATCATGGTGTATTATGGGTGATATATACATTCTTATGGGGTTGAATAAGTATTTGAAAACAATTGGAAGCCATTAATATCATGTGTACGTGCGGTAAGTTATTACCGTACGTTTAGCACTGGTTCATACAAAAAGAGCTCATTCATTTAGATCAAAGAACTTTGCAAAGATTACGGTAAAACTGGAAAAGCCTACAAAACAGCTATGAATGTATGCCGTATAATTTTCCCGCTGTCAAACCTCGTCTCAGTCCCCCTCCGTGTTCAACTAACGCGGAATGCTTTGACTAGAAGGATTGGGCCTCGGTAACAATAAAACGTTTACATTGTACGCGTCTTGTTGACTTTAACTTATTTCTATGCGCGTTAACAATTCACAGTGCTTCAAAGCCCTCATTTCTTAAGAATATAACTATTGTACTACAGAAAACAAACACTTAATAAACCCACCTTCCTCAATCGACACCTTTCCAAGCGTCTTACATGTTCTAAGCTGAAATACAAAACAACAACATTAATTAATACTAGCAGGAAAACAAGGGCAGAAATATTGTTAGCAGCATGCTCCCAACAAAAGAATTATACAATTGAATAGAGAACTATTAATATTAAAGTGAAAGTGAGGCATAATTGAGTGATAGGAGGCTTAGAACGTGAACAAAACGAGTGAATTAATGAGTAGTTACAGTTATTAGCTTATGTTAAGTAAATTCGCCGATGAAATTGGGTGGAAACTACACTGTTTGAATTTGAAAACGGCTGTAGACGTCACGCAGGCATTCTATGGGGATATTAAAAATATTGTTATCGCGATAAAGTCAGTAGGATCGAAAATGATATCGCTCTTACACGGAAGACATGATGATACTGCAACCGCAAAATGTAAACAACTACATCAAACTTGTACCTTCAATTAGAAATTAGATTTTAAGACCAGCCAAGAGCACGTAGCACAAGGAAAAACCTTGTTTAAACGACTCAATATATATATATA